AAAAAAAAAAAAAAAAAAAGCAAGAAATTGGACTTTTCTCTAGTATCATACACAAAAATTAATTCAAAATGAATTAAAGACTTAAATGTAAGACCTGACACTGTAAAATTTCTTAAAGAAAACATAAGAAAAAATCTCCTTGACACTGGTATCTGTAATGATGTTTTGAATTTGACATCAAATAACAGGCAGCAGAAGCAAAAATAAACAAGCAGGACTACATCAAACTAAAAAGTTTATTTAAGGAAAAGGAGCCACCAACAATATGAAAAGGCAACCTACAGAATGGAAGAAAATATTTGCAAACCATATACCTGTGATGTGAATGGCACCCTGGGGTGCTTAATCAGAGAGTATCCCAAAAGTTCCACAAAACAAAGAGACATGAAAAAAAACAAACTAGAAGTTTCTTCATCACAGGAAAAACTTTATGCTTATTTTATACTTCATAGCAATTTGTCATGAACGTACAAACCAGCCTTTTTTAGTTGACATACCTCATCCTTCAGCTGGATTCTACCAGCTTCATGGTACTGATACGCCGTTCTGTATTTTAAGAGATTACGATCAGCCACAGAAATTCTTTTCTCATACTCCGTGTTATTCCCAATCTCACTTTCCAAAAACTTGATCTTTTCCTTAACCAAATTTTCTTTTTCTCTTGTTTCCTGCTTTATCTTTGCTAATTCCTAGGATTAAAACAAATGTGTTTACTTATATATATATATGTTTAAACTGACAAAACTAAAGGAATTTAATTTTTCTATTATATTTAGTATTTATTTCCCTAAAACTTCTTAGAAAACATTTTTAAATACTTTTATATTAATAAAACAAAATATTAGTATACTACATATTAATGTCTATAAACTCATATTGTTAAATGTTTCTGTTTCCTTCCATATATCTGGAACTTTGCTAAAAAGATGAGAAAAACAGTTAAGCTTTTATATATGAAAGGTAAAACCTACACATGTAACAGTGTTGAATATTTTTCACATAGAAAGTGGGGTTTCAATGAAGCTTTCCAAATATTTTACAAGCCTGTTATTTTTTCATGTTTTGAAAACAGCATTTTAGTTATTGGTTTTAGTAGAAATATCTTCACTAGGGCCTTTTGCTGATCACAAGGCAATAATAAACAGAATGCACAAAGCACTGGAACTGAAATGTAGGCAAGTACCATGGGTACAAAGAAATAACGAATTCCTTCCCAGAGGAGTCATTAGGAGACACTACACCTTCCTGGCTTTCAAGAATAGGGAAGGAAAGAAGGAAAGAGAGAAAGAGAGAGGGAGTGAGAAAGAAGGAGAGAGAGAGAAAGAGAGGAAGGGAGGGAGGGAGGAAGAGAGGAAGGAAGGAAGGAAGGAAGGAAGGG